TGTTTTTCAGGTGTGGAGTTTGGTGAGACCTTTATAGATTTTGGATACTAGCCCTTTGTCCGATATGTCATTTGCAAATATCTTTTCCCATTCCGTCAGCTGCGTTTTAGTTTTGTGGATTGTTTCCTTTGCAGTGCAGAGGGTTTATCTTCATAAGGTCCACATAGTTCATTTTTGCTTTTAATTCCTTTGCCTTTGGAGATGTGTCAAGTAAGAAATTGCTGCAGCTGAGGTCAGAGAGGTTTTTTTCCTGCTTTCTCCTCTAGGGATTTGATGGTTTCCTGTCTCACCTTCAGGTCCTTCATCCATTTTGAGTTTATTTTAGTGAGTGGTGTAAGAAAGTGGTCTAATTTCATTCTTCTGCATGTTTCTGTCCAGTTCCCCCAACACCGTTTGTTAAAGAGACTGTCTTTTTTCCATTGGATATTCTTTCCTGCTTTGTCAAAGATGAGTTGGCCATACTTTTGTGGGTCCAATTCTGGAGTCTCTATTCTATTCCATTGGTCTCTGTGTCTGTTTTTGTGCCAATACCATGCTGTCTTGATGATTACGGTTTTGTAGTAGAGGCTAAAGTCTGGGATTGTGATGACTCCCGCTTTGGTTTTCTTCTTCAATATTACTTTGGCTATTCGAGGTCTTCTGTGGTTCCATACAAATTTTAGGATTGCTTGTTCTAGCTTCGAGAAGAATGCTGGTGCACATGATTTTGGGATTGCATTGAATATGTAGATTGCTATGGGTAGTATTGACATTTTAACAATATTTATTCTTCCAATCCATGAGCGTGGAACGTTTTTCCATTTCTTTGTATCTTCTTCAATTTCCTTCATAGGATTTCTATAGTTTTCAGCAAACAGATCTTTTAAATCTTTGGTTAGGTTTATTCCTAGGTATTTTATCGTTCTTAGTGCAATTGTGAATGGGATCAATTTCTTTGTCTTTCTGTTGCTTCGTTATTAGTGTATAATGTACTAATTTCTGTACGTTAATTTTGTATCCTGTGGCTTTGCTGAATTCATGTATCAGTTGTAGCAGACTTTTGGTGGAGTCTGTTGGATTTTCCATGTATAATATCATGTCATCTGCAAAAAGTGAAAGCTTGACTTCATCTTTGCCGATTTTGATGCCTTTGATTTCCTTTTGTTGTCTGATTGTTGATGCTAGAACTTCCAACACTATGTTAAACAACAGCGGTGATCGTGGACATCCCTGTAGTGTTCCTGATCTCAGGGGGAAAGCTCTCAGTTTTTCCCCATTGAAGATGATATTAGCTATGGGATTTTCATAAATGGCTTTTATGATGTTTAAGTACATTCCTTCTATCCCGACTTTCTTGAGGGTTTTATTAAGAAGGAATACTGAATTTTGTCAAATGCTTTTTCTGCATCGATTGACAGGATCATATGGTTCTTTTCTTTTATTAATGTAATGTATCACATTGATTGATTTGTGAATGTTGAACCAGCCCTGCAGCCAAGGAATGAATCCCACTTGATCATGGTGAAAAATTCTTTTTATATGCTATTGAATTCCATTTGCTAGTATCTTGTTGATAATTTTTGCATCTATATTCATCAGGGATATTGGCCTGTAATTCTCTTTTTCTGCTGGGTGTTTGTCTGGTTTAGGAATCAAAGTAATGCTGACTTCATAGAATGAGTCTGGAAGTTTTCCTTCCCTTTCTATTTTTTGGAACAGCTTGAGAAGGATAGGTATTATCTCTGCTTTAAACGTCTGGTAGAACTCCCCTGGGAAGCCATCTGGTCCTGGACTCTTATTTGTTGGGAGATTTTTGATAACCGATTCAATTTCTTCACTGGTTATGGGCCTGTTCAAGTTTCCTATTTCTTCCTGTTTGACTTTTGGAAGTGTCTGGGTGCTTAGGAATTTGTCCATTTCTTCCAGGTTGTCCAGTTTGTTGGCATATACTTTTTCATAGTATTCCCTGATGATTGATTGTATTTCTGAGGGATTGGTTGTAATAATTCCATTTTCATTCATGATTTTATCTATTTGGGTCATCTCCCTTTTCTTTTTGAGAAGCCTGGCTAGAGGTTTATCAAATCTGTTTATTTTTTCAAAAAACCAACTCTTGGTTTCATTGATCTGCTCTACAGTTTTTTTAGATTCTATATTGTTTATTTCTGCTCTGATCTTTATTATTTCTCTTCTTCTTCTGGGTTTGGGGTGTCTTTGCTGTTCTGCTTCTATTTCCTTTAGGTGTGCTGTTAGATTTTGTATTTGGGATTTTTCTTGTTTCTTGAGATAGGCCTGGATTGCAATGTATTTTCCTCTCAGGACTGCCTTCGCTGCATCCCAAAGCATTTGGATTGTTTATTTGCATTTTCATTTATTTCCATATATTTTTTAATTTCTTCTCTAATTGCCTGGTTGACCCATTCATTCTTTAGTAGGGTGTTCTTTAACCTCCATGCTTTTGGAGGTTTTCCACACGTTTTCCTGTGGTTGATTTCAAGTTGCACGGCATTGTGGTCTGAAAGTGTGCATGGTATGATCTCAATTCTTTTCTACTTACGAAGGGCTGTTTTGTGACCCAGTATGTGAGCTATCTTGGAGAATGTTCCATGTGTATTCGAGAAGAAAGTATATTCTATTGCTTTGGGATGCAGAGTTCTAAATATATCTGTCAAGTCCATCTGATCCAATATATCATTCAGGGCTCTTGTTTCTTTATTGATCCTGTGTCTAGATGATCTATCCATTGTTGTGAGGTATTAAAGTCCCCTGCAATTACCACATTCTTATCAATAAGGTTGCTTATGTTTGTGATTGTTTTATATTTTGGGGGGCTCCCATATTCAGTGCATAGACATTTATAATTGTTAGATCTACCTAATGGATGCACCCTGTAATTATTATATAATTCCCTTCTTCATCTCTTGTTACATCCTTTAACTTAAAGTCTAGTTTGTCTGATATAAGTATGGCTATTCCAGCTTTCTTTTGACTTCCAGTAGCATGATAGGTAGTTCTCCATCCTGTCCTCAGGTCTAAAATGAGTCTCTTGTAGACAGCAAATAGATGGGTCTTTTTTTTTAAATCCATTCTGATACCCTATGGGGCATTTAGTCCATTTACACTCAGTGTTATTATTAAAAGATAAGGGCTTCGAGTCATTGTGATGTCTGTAGGTTTCATGCTTGTAGTGATGTTCTGGTACTTTGTGGTCCTTGCAACATTTCACTCACAGAATCCCCCTTAGGATCTCTTGTAGGGCTGGTTTAGTGGTGATGAATTCCTTCAGTTTTTGTTTGTTGGGGAAAACCTTTATCTCCCTTTCTATTCTGAATGACAGACTTGCTGGATAAAGGATTCTCAGCTGCATATTTTTTCTGTTCATCACATTGAAGATTTCCTGCCATTCCTTTCTGGTCTGCCAAGTTTCAGTGGATACGTCTGCTACTACCCTTATGTGTCTACCTTTGTAAGTTAGAACCTGTTTATCCCTAGCTGCTTTCAGAATTCCTTCTTTATCTTTGTATTTGCCACTTCCACTATGATATGTCATGCAGAAGATTGATTCAAGTTACATATGAAGGTAGTTCTCTGTGCCTCTTGGAGTTCAATGCCTGTTTCCTTCTCCAGATCAGGGAAGTTCTCAGCTATGATTTGTTCAAGTACGCCTTCAGCTCCTTGCTCTCTCTCTTCTTTCTTCTGGAATTCCTATGATACGGTTATTGTTCCATTTGATTGCATCACTTAGTTCTCTAATTCTCCCTTCATACTCCTGGATTTTTTTATTTCTCTTTTCCCATTATTTTATCTTCTAATTCACCTATTCTCTCCTCTGCCTCTTCAATTTGTGCTATGGCTGCCTCCGTTTTATTTTGCACCTCATTTATAGCATTTTTTAGCTCCTCATGACTATTTCTTAGCCCCTTGATCTCTAGCAATAGATTCTCTGCTGTCCTCTCTACTTTTTCAATCCCAGTGGTTATGACTATTATTCTAAATTCTTGTTCTGTTATATTGCTTAAATCATTTTTGATCAATTCGTTAGCTGTAGCTGCTTCCTGGAGTTTCTTTTGAAACTCCATTTCGTCATTTTTGTTAGTCCTTGTGTGGCTCCAAACTGCAAGGCACTTCTGCTGTGCTGTCTGGAGTAACTTGCGTTGGTGGGTGGGGCCACAGGGAGACTGGTGTGTACCTTATCTTCCCCTCTCCCAGGGGAAGGACTCACTGTGGAATGGTGTGACCCCTGTCTGGGCTACTTCCACACTGCCATGCTTGTGGTGCTGCCTCTCTGGGATCTGGCCCAGGGCATATTAGCTGGGGTGAATCCGCGAGGTGCACAGGGGCAGGAGTGTTAGGCTTAGCTTGCTTTGGGGTCAGTGGTCCCCTGTGGCAGGGACCCTGTAGCACTGGGAGGGAGGCAGACTCTTAGGATGGATGGATTCACAGAAGCACAGGGTTGCAAGCAAGTTCAGTGACAGGAACCAGTTCCCTTTGGAATTTCAACTGGAGGATGGGAAAGGAAAATGGCGCTTGCCAGTGCCTTTGTTCCCCTACTGAACTCTGTCCTTCTGGGGCTCAACAAGTCTCCCTCCTGGTGTCCTCTAGCCCTCCCACTCTCCAAGAGCAGAGCTGTTGACTTTTAACATTCCAGATGTTAAGTCCTGCTGGTTGTCAGAACTCATGCAGTCCGGCCCCTCCGCTTTTGCAAGCCAGACTTCAGGGGCTCTGCCTTGCCAGGCGGGCTGCCCCTCCACCGCCCTGGCTCTGTCTTGCTAGTCCATGTAGCATGCGCTGCCTCTTTGCCCTTCCTACCCTTTTCTGTGGGACTCTTGTCTATGCTTGGCTCCGGAAAGTCCATTTTGCTCATCTTCTGGCAGTTTTCTGGGTTATTTAGGCAGGTGTGGGTGGAATCTAAGAGATCTGCAGGATGAGGTGTGCCCAGCATCCTCCTATGCTGTCATCTTCCTGTCTCCATGCAGCCCTTTTATTGTTTGTTGTGAGGAAGTTGTTCATCTGGTTTTCAGGTCGTTTTCAGAGGGAATTGTTGCACATGTAGCTATAGACTCGGTATGTTCATACAAGGAGGTGAATTCAGGATCTTCCTATGCTGTCATCTTGGACTGCCCAGATCACGAGGTGAGTGACAAAGGATGTGACTCGGGAACAGCCAGATGGGGGGGAGGAGGTGTGCAGCAAGGGCAGGCAGCTTCCCTGAGCTCGCCAGGCTGCCACTCTCCCTGCAGCTCCACGTGGTCACCATTGGAAGCTCCCTTATTGTAATTTTAAATTGTAATTAATAGGCATTTAGTATATTTGAATTGCTAAATGAAAGTCTTATACTACATTTGATGTTTAGTAATTTCAGAGTTACCTAAGAACAAAGGAAAATTGGAAGGAAAAAAGGCTTTCATAGATTCAGAAGAAGTAACAATAGAAAATAATTAACATAATGAGAAATAATCCTTTTGGATCGCTTCACTAACTGAAGTTATGGTTACCCTTTAAACTACATAAAACCATTAAATATATTAGGGGGTTTAAGAGAAAAAAATGATGAAAGGTACTGTGAGTCATGACAGGATTTTAAGTGGCTACATGTATCAAACATGAGTAATGGCCTCTAACAGTTATATCAGAAACTACATCTTCAAAACTTCCTTGTAAGATTAAATATTATTTAAAATGGTATAAAGAAGATGAAAGCAGATAAAAGTAAAATATAATGGCCCAAATTTAGAAATTATTATTATTAGTTGTTGCTCCTAATGTAGTACTTCTAAAAATCCACCTTCTCTCTGTAACAAAGAGGCTGAGCAAATAATCTCTTAATTTGTTTTTCTTCTGTGATTAGACTAAGAATTGCATAGTGGGCTTAGAAATCACCCCCAACTCTGAATGACTTTTCATTTCATACCAGATTCCTTCCCAACCAAGTTACATTTGAAATTGATGATTTATCTTGAAATTAGGCCCATGAAGTTATTGAGTTGGTCAAGCTGAAATCTTGTTACAAAATGCTATAAACTTACTGTTGAATGTAAAACCTTTCACTGTAAACAAAATATGGCATAATTAAAAAAAAAGCTGAAAACAATTGGAAAATTTTCTGAAAGAGAAACTGAATGAAAGAAACTTCTTAGTGAAAGCCTACTAAAACAGATACAAATAAGCAAGGAAACACAGTAGCAGAAATTCAACACCTACCATTATATCTTAACAGGTCAAGAAAGAAAACAAATTTAAAAATCACTACCACTCTTAAACTCTATAATATCTCCGCTTCTCCCAGTATTAGAGGGGAAGAAAGGGGAGTGATCAAAATCTGATACTCATTCTTATTACCACCCAAAATGATACTGTGGAAGACCCATCTTGAGTATGTGGGCAGGAAGTATATAAAGATGGTTGAAAACTCCTCTAGCATACATGTATAACTACCATTCAATGTGTCACTGCTGCTATCCATCTCTATTCTTTAAAGCTAAGAGGATACTTCTAAAGAAAAGGCAGCTAGTTTAAATTGCTCTTGAGACTTTCTCTTCAACTCATGGATTAGATAGATGTGATTTTTATTTTCTAAATATTTGGAGATTTTTTGCCTACCTCTCTAATATTGACGTCTAGTTTAATTTTGTCTCAGTCCAAAAGCATATTATAGGAATTTCTGTTTTTAAATTTATTAAGGTTTGTTTTATACTCCTGGATGCAGTTTACATAGATGTCTGCTCCGTTTGTACTTGAAAAGACTGTGTATTCTATTATTGTTAGATGGAATGCTCCAGAACTCTCAAAGAGATCCAAGTGATGGACAGTTGCTTGGGGGTTATCTATTTTTTTATTCATTTTCTGGCTACTTGTTCTGTCAATTTCTGAGAGAGGCATGTTAATGTCTCCAATCATAATTAAAAATCCATTTATTTTTCCTTTTGTTTTTATCCATTATTTCCCCATGTGTTTCGATACTTTTTTTTGTTTGTTTATTTTTGAGAGAGAGAGAGGGAATGTGACAAGAGTGTGAGTGGAGGAGGGGAAGAGAGAGAGGGAGACACAGATCCAAAGCAGGCTCCAGGCTCTGAGCTGTCAGCACAAAGTCCAACATGGGGCTCAAATCCAGTAACGTGAGATCATGACCTGAGCCGAAGTCAGACACTCAACCAACTGAGCCACCCAGGCATCCTATTTGATACTGTCTTGACACATGGATACAAATTTAAGATTCTTTAGTCGTTTGGGTAAAATTTACCCGTTTCATCATTTGTTTCCTATCTCTGAAAAAGTTTCTTGTACTGAAATGTAATTTATATGAAATTAATATAGTTTCTTGAGATTTATTTTGGTTAATGATTTCATCTTTCTTCATCCTCTTACCATACATAACCTATCAGTATCTTATATTTGTAGTGGATTCTTATTGACAAATATAGTTGGGTCATTATTGTTTTATATAAGATTCTCTTTTGACTAGTGGGTTTAGATCATTGACATTCACAATGACTATTGATGTGACTGGATTATATTGTAGCATCTTGTTATCTGTTTTCTATTTTCTCCATTTGATCCTTCCTTGTAACTTTTTTCTCTTTTTCTGTCTTCTCTGGTTTTAATTTAGCAGTTTTTAATGAGCCCATTTAATCTAATTTATTGGTTATATTGTCTTAACACATTTTTTACTGGTTGCTCTGGGGTTCACAATATACATTTAAAAATAACCTGCAACAGTTGTAACATAATATTATATCACCTTGTGTGCAGTGTAAGAAATTTTTAATTGTGTAAAACCTATTCTCTCTCCCATCCCTTATGCCATTGTTTTCCTGAATTTTATGCTGTAAACACCTAATATATAATTCAGCCTGGTTTTTATCAGTTATGTTTTCAAAAACTACAAATAAAAACATACTGTATGTACTTTTTTTTCCCATTTTCAATATTCTGATGTTCTATTTTCTGAATGATCCTGTCCCTTTTTCCTAAAGACCATTCTCAAACATTTCTTTCACAGTAGGTCTAATAGCAATGGGTTCCCTTAGTTTTTGTTTCTTTGAAAGCATTTATTTCCCCTTAAATTCTGAATAATGTTTTCATTATAGAATTCTGCATTGACCACTTTTTTATTCAGCACATTAAAGATACCACTCTCCTGTCTTGTTTAAGGTTTTCTGATGAACAGATTGCTATAATTCTTAATCCTTGTCCTTCTATAAATAGTATATTGTTGTTGTCATGGTTGCTGTTAATATTTTTTCTTTTCATTGGTTATCATTGGTTTTTAACAAGTTAAATATGATATGCATAGTTTTGCTGTCTCTTAGATTTGTGGTTTGCTCTCTAACTTTGGAAAATACTCAGCATTATTTTCTTCTATATTGTTATCTGTTTATTCTACTTTTAATATTCTGATTACCTATATGTTGAATTCTGACATTGTCACAGTGAAAGTAATGGCTAGAAAAAGGGAGATTGATTGTCTCTGACCAAATGTTAACCAAAACATCTACCCATGATTAGGAGTAAATTACAATACAAACTGATATTTCAAGTAACAAATGAGTTATCCTTGTCATTTTCTATCAACGAGAGCACATTTACTAAGAATTTCTCACCAAAAATATAATGGGAGTCCTGAAATACAGTTGCAGATGGATTTAGATCATTGGAACTGCTATTTTGAACTCAAATTTTAGCCTCCTTAAATGTTAGCTTGAGTTCTAGGCTTATTTCCTACTATTTCAAATCATGGGCATCTCACATGTAGCTGAAGAAGAGATGAATTTATTTTCATCATTTTTTTAAGTTTAGAGAATAAGTTTTTTTCCATAAACTATCCCCTCAGCAGGAGGGGATAGTTTTCTTTTTATGATTTTATTTAAAAGAAAATTTTTTTCTTTTTATGATATTAATCAAGATTGACTAAAGTAAGTATTTGCTCACTGTAATGGAGAGTGGAAAAGCTAATATCTGAAAATAATAGCTTTCATAGTAAAAGATGAGCTCAGGCAAGAAAATATGTAGATAAAAGGTTTTTGAGTAGGTAAGTATTGACACTATCAAACACACTTTTCCCCAAAATCTCCTGCAATGGAAGAGATGGATAAAATCTACAGTGCTTAACCCATCAAGTCGCAATTTCACTTTAAGGACAAGTGTCTTGGATTACATGGATGTCCAGTATTACCACCTCAGTGACATCATCCTGGTTCATGCCATCAAGATTTCTCAATGACTGTAAAAGACTTGGAACTGTGTTCTCAAATTCTCACCTTAGGACCTATCGTCTCTTCTCCTTTCAAGGTAATTTACCCGGTCTGCAGTTCAGGGTCTAGGATTTTATTTTATGTCTGTCCTTGATAAAATACAAGCTGAATTAGGGTAGGGATAGTTGGAATTATTTTTCATTATGTATTCTCATAATCACTGGAACCTAGTAAGTACTAATAAATGTTAAAAAAAATTAATGAATGTTTTACCAGAAAAACCATTTTGACAGAACTTCTTATCTTAGATATTGATACTATATATGGAAAAGATATGTGAGGGAAGCTATGCGAAAATACTACCTGAGGATAAAAAGGAAACTAAACGCATATATAAGATAAATTGCTTTTGGAAATCAAATCTAAGAAATTCAGGCATTTTCATTCAAGTTTGTTGTACAATGGAAAAATCTAAAAATAAAATTAATTTTTAAAAAATTAAAATAAAAAGGGATCTTGACAAGCTAAATAAACTAAGAATGAGAAAAACATCACTAGGAATGAAAATGAAAGGTGGAGTGAGAGATGTGAACATGATGGAGTAAAGACACTCCAAAAAAGCCACAAAAGTAGCCACAAATTGTCAGAATTCCAAAAATTCACCTGAGACTTCAGCCATGAGGTGGCATTTCATCAAGAAAAATGGAATGGCTGAATCTTAGCATCAACAACATGCTTTGTGGTATTTCATCTCTTCTAGTTTCATCCACCACTTGATGTCTAAAGAGTAGCTTTAGAAAGATAATAGGCCATACTCCTGGTATCAGAGGAAGCACAATAGCACTGCAGCTCTTTCCAAACTTTATTTCCAAAGAATAGTAATTACTTGACCTGAGTTGTGGTTCTCTGGAAGACTCTACTAAAATAGCTTATTTTATTTCA